GTTATATGTGGATTTTCAACTGCACGGGGGCGTTGGTGCCCCTAACCACCACGTTGTTCAAGGGTCAACTGTGTAAGCGTTGTTAAATGAAATAATAAAGTATGGTGCAATTGAGAATGATGTTTTTAGGAATATTTAGATTTAAAAGTTAATAATTAATTGTTAAATGAAGGAGGTTCATAAAGCAGGTGTACATTATAATATCATTTAAAAACATAATGTATCTAGAAGAAAGACTGGAAGGAAACTTAGAAAAATATTAATATTGTTGCTAAAAGGTAGAATCATGGGGAAGTTTTTCACTTAGGTACTATGTGTTCAGAAATAGGTTGCCATATACAGTCTCATAGGATGTACACTGTACAACTCTAGGGTGCCCCATTTGTCCCTCTTCATACCTCTGGCTTATACAACCTCCTTTATTGCCTATAGCTTCTAAAATGTACATGTGTTACTCTTGTGTAATCAAACAAATGCAGTTTTAATATATTGCAACTTTGCTTTTTCTCCCTAAAACATTTATTTTATTTGTTTTCAGTTTATTTATTTTGACAGAGAGAGAGAGAGAGAGAGAGAGCAGGGGAGGTGTAGAAAGAGAGGGAGAGAGAGAATCTCAAGCAGACTCAGTGATACCAGCGTGGAGTCCTACAAGGGATTTGATCTCATAAACCATGAAATCATGACCTGAGTTGAAATCAAGAGTCAGATGCTTAACTGACTAAGCCACTGAGGTGCCCCCTCCCTAAAACATTTAAAAGGCAACTGAAGTTGACCTAGTTTGGCATTTTTATTAGAGTGGGAAAGAAATGATCCCTATACTGCAAAATGATTGTCGTAAGGCATGCTCACCAATGCTTGAGACAAATGGGGTGTTCAGTCACCACTGCAGAACCGAAAGTTTCTTCATGTACGTAGCATAAATAAAAGACACATATCTGGCCTGAGAGTGTTATTAAAATAATTTAAAATAATAAATAATAAATAAAATAATTTTTAAAACCCGTAATATATTTTAATCACTGGAGAAATCCAGAACTGCTGGATCAGAAATGATGAATATAAGAATGGAGCCTTCATATTAAATCCACAATGGAGAAGATTTAAAGTAAGCCAATGCTTCTTTTCCCATGGCCAGGACGAAAGGAACCTGGTTCTTAATGATATCCAGACCTACCCTGCACTTTCTGGTCTCCATAGTTCTTGTCACATGAGATGATAAACATGTTTACTTAAAGAGTAAATACCACTGTCATTGGATATTGTATTCCTTGAGGCCAGAAAATAGATATATTCTCTTAGAAGCCCTTCCTTCCCTATGTAGAGTTAAAGATCCCCTCCTCTACATGTCCACAACCCCTTGCATGTACTTCTGCCCCAGTCTTCAACGTGACTTGTTTGTGAGATCCTCCAAAGAATTCATGCGTTTTCTTTTATTTTGTAACCTCAGTATCCCTCCTGGTATCTAACATAGAAAACATCTGTTTAGTAGGTATCAGGACTCTGTATATTCACTGTTCTGTGAGGTATGGAGGGCACTTTTTCTTGAGAGTATGGAGAAGTGGCAGACCCAGCCCACACACACACACACACACACACACACACACACACACACACACACATACATGAGTAATCTCATAGCCTGGGTGAGGCTGTCGGTAAAGGCTGAGTCAGAAATACCCTCGTGTGCTCCTTGAAAACTAGATGGAAGCAACAGCCACTCTAGATGCAGGGTGATGACAGAAGAGTACATCTCTTCTTCCCACTTGAATTCTTAGGATAGTTTTTAGGTATTATTTAAATTTTATTAAAGTAATTTTTGGAGACTAAAATGTTGGCTTCATTACAAAAGTGGATTGGAGAATGTGGTCTAGTTGTGATATCAAATGGGCTTGGTAATACTCTCCTATTTTGAACTTACCCTCCAAAATGCCACCCTCCATCCCTGGTGGGGGTCCTGTTTGGCTTATATATGGCTGGGGGAACAGACCAGAACACACATCTGCACTCCACAGAGCAGGTTGCCAACCCCTGGCCCGGACAAAACTGAATCCAGAAAGCCAGGCCTGCCTGGGAAGCGTGAACAGCAGTCTCCCTCATCGCAGTTTCCATTTCCATGGTTTCTATTACTTGATGTCAACCGTGGTCTGGAAAGAGGAGACCCTCCTCCTCACCTATGGTATCTTAAGGCTACATCACAATACCTATGTACCTATGTCACTCTCTTCATTTCTTTTCTTTTCTTTTCTTTTCTTTTCTTTTCTTTTCTTTTCTTTTCTTTTCTTTTCTTTTTAAGGTTTATTTATTTATTTAAGAAAGACAGAGACAGCACAAGTGCAGGAGGGGCGGAGAGAGAGAGGAACAGAGAGAAAAATCTGAAGCAGGCTCCGCAATGCCAGCACAGAACTCAACATGGGGTTCGAACTCACGACACCACGAGATCATGACCTGAGCTGAAACCAAGAGCCGGATGCCTAACCGACTGAGCCACCCAGGCCCCCGCTCTTCATTTCATCTCATACGTAGGCATTTTATCATCTCAAGTTATCACAAGAAGGAGAAAGGTGAGTACAATACAATATTTAGAGAGAGAGAAAGAGTCCACATTCACATAACTTTTATTATAGTACATGGATATAATTATTCTATTTTATTATTAGTTATTGTTGTTAATCTCTTATTATGCTTAATTTAGAAACTAAACTTTACTATAGGTATGTGCATATAGAAGAAACCTCGTATGTATAGGGTTTGGAACTATCCAGTTTCAGGCATCCACTGGGGGTCTCGGAATGTTTCCCCCACAGGGAAGGGAGGGGGAGAACTACCAAAGAAAGGCGTGAACTTCTTCATTGGTAATCTGCTAGTAAATCAGCTTCTTTGTAACCTCTCTCACTTTCCTTTCCTGGTTTGGATCATTGGGAGGTCACAGGGTATAAACATTTCCCCCCAATGTTGGTTTGGCTTTTGCCTTCTTACAACATGAAGAACACGGCCACTGAACCAGCTGAGGAATGTGGGCTGCAAACGTGGTCTATTTCATGTTCGATGTCATCATAATTCCACACTTTCTACACACAGTTTCAACGCGGTGGCTGAAATTATCATTGGCAAACATATGCAGGATTCTGAATTAGAAAATTTGGGCTCTAAGCTGCCAGTAACCAGTCCAGAGTGCTATTTTCAAGGTTCAAAGGTCCCAGTGGGTAGATCTGATTGAATTTGAAAGGCATTAATGGCAAAGAATAGGTTTAGTTGTGAGACCACCCAAACCCCGTTTGCTTTTTAGCAGCCAAATTCAATGCCTTAACTCAAAGGAGGGTGTTCTGTGGGAATGTGAAATCATGTGGCAGTTCTCCTTAAGGATTGGGGCTTTATCTAGCACCCTTAAATCTTGGCATATAGGAAGGTCCTACTTTATTCTCCCACATATGGGGCTGATGTTTGTATGAATGTGGTGGAAAAGGAGACACTTTCCAGGTTTAATTCAGAAGGAGCAAAACACAGGTGGCCCAGAGCAGGGACCCTTCGAGCCCTGCCACATCACGATACACTTCAGCAGTTTGAGCAGAAACAGGAAGTAGGTAAGGGCAACACAGAGGTCCGTCAATGTGACCAGGGCACCATTTCTGGGTTCTGTAGAGTAAGTTGTCCTCATCAGGTTCCATCCAATCAGTCTGAGACTCAGCCTCTCCTTCCAGCCTCCTCAGCCTACTACTGCTCTGGGTCCCAAGGTCCATAGCCTGCCCGCCTCTTGGTTCCGCCCCCACGGTCACAGCCTCTGCATTGTTAATCCTGGCCAATTGTCAAGAAAATAATCTCCTGGATTCTTAAGGGCCTGGGGGAGAGTGTGGATGACTCAGTGTGGCCCATCCCCACTGTTAGGGAAGCAACTCAAAGCAGATTGTTTGTGGCAGTGAGTTACTAATGTCAGCTTCATCAGAGATTATTCTGTGGAAGGTACAGTGGTGAATAGCAGTTGCAAACCTTTTAAGACTAATTTTTGTGCCATGAAAGAAAGGGGAAGTTAGAATAAATAGACTGAGACTCAGATGATTTATTTTTCAGTTTAGACTTGCGTGTTTCATTCATTCCTGGGATAGTCTCATCTATCTGCCTTTGGGGATCAGCATAGAAAGAGGAGTGAGTCATCACTTGGCTATGTCTTTTTTGTCTTTAATCCCTTAATGTAAAGGAGAATTAGGCAAGAAGTTTAAGCAAGGTTAAACAAGATTGATTAATGAATTTTTAAAAATTAAACTCGAGCTTAAAACAACATGAGAGATGTGTACAATAAGGTAAGGGACATAAAAACTCTTTATTCAAATATAAGATATGTCATCCATTTACTTCCTGAGAAAAATCAGTCGTTAGTAATAATAATAAGAATATACTCAGAAGATATTATAATGTTTCTTCATCCACGCAGAGACCCTATTGACCCCCTCCTGGGAGAGTATAGACTTAGAAGAGTAGCTCTCTCTAGTCCTGAGATGGGTTATCTGGTATTTCTCCTCATCTGCCATAGGACTGGGTCCCCTTATGCAGTGGACACTCAGAGTTTCCAACTGCTACACCATCCAATAAATGCTTATAGGTTGGAAAGCCTCTAGATGATGCTCAGTTCAGGGCTTGAGCGAGATACCAAAAATTTGCAAAGTTCCCTTCCTCCTCTTAAATGATAGACTTGGCCTTCAAGTTCAGCTTCTCCATCTATTCCTGCCTTCTAGTCTGTATGTGGAAGAACAGAGAGTGAAGATCCAGGAAAGATTCTGGAAAAAATAAAATTGGGTTTTCCTCCAAGAACTTCTGAAAAAATTATTTAGATTGTCGAAAGATGAATACAGTATTGAAGGTAACATGGTCATGTGTTGCCTATTAGATTTTATTTCTCCCAAGATGTTTCTTAAAACCACAAAAGAGAGGGAAATTTCTGTAGAGCAGCTCAGTCTCAGAAGATTACACTTGCAGACGTCAGAGCTACAGTGAGGTTCTTGAAGGCACAGTGCGTGTTCGCCTTCAGAGTTGCTATGGTTTTCACAAGAAGGAGTCACTTCCTTTTCTTTGTGGGCTTCTTGCTGTTGGGTTTAGTCTACAGCCAGACTTGAAACTCCTTAGTAGAACCACGGATGAGCAACTTGGGAGGGGGGTGTCTGTGAATCCTGTGAACTTACAGCAATATTTTCGTTATATGAACACCGTTTGGGGGAATATGGAGGATCCAAAGCTCTCATTAGATTCTCAGAGGAGTCTGTGACTTTGTAAGTGAAGGTCCTGGTCCAAGCCTGGAGCACCTGCATGCCTTCTGAATCAGCTGCAGAACCCATACCTTAAACGTAGGTAATATTATTATCCCTATTATACAGATGAGAAAACAGGCTGACAGTTTAAATAACCCACCCAATAGTCATACAGCTGGTAAATAGTGAATTCAGGTGATAAACCCAGATCTGTCTGACTTCAGAAATGGAGCATTTCATTAGTGGGCAGTGCTTTGCCTACACTTAACAGGTTTAAAATAATAAGACCTGGAATTTGTTAGGGTTTTTCCAACTTCCCCAAATCCTTGCAACAGCCTTACTGACGGGTGACCCAGCTCTGTATGAACGCTCCTGGGGATGAGTGCTTCCTACTTCTCCAGGAGTCAGCAGCACTGTTGAACAGCACTCACTGTTGAATGAGTGCCTTTAAAATATTAAACCCCAACTTACCTTAGGATTGGGTGCTGGCAAGGTTCTTTCAAATGTAAAATGCGAAACATCTTCAGGTGTGTTTTCTAGGACTGGGGTCCAAAATTCTGCTGCATGGAGCCTCTACTTCCTCTCTTCAAAGTGGGGCACATGGGAGAAGATGAACTGTGTTGGGAAATACAAACATACACATCCAGAAATAATACAACATGTGGAATGGTGGATAGACTCTTTCTATCTTTCAAAAGCATTAGAAGAAGGTGTGCTTTGAAAATGGGAATGACCCCAAAATTTCCATATATGGAAAAACTTTTCTTAGCTGCCTTGGGGGTCTTTTTTTCTTTAGTTTCTTTTGCTTATTTATTTTGAGAGTGACAGAAAGAGAGAGAGAGTGCATGCATGTCGAGGAGGAGCAGAGAGAGAGAGGGAGAGAGAGAATCCTAAGTAGACTCTGCACTGTCAGTGCAGAGTCCAAGGTTGGGCTCGATCTTGCAAACTGTGAGATCATGACCTGAGCTGAAATCAAGAGTTGTATGTGCAACTGACTGAGCCACCCAGGTGCCCTCTAGCTTCTAAGAATGATCCTTTTTTAAAAAATGTTTATTAAGTTATTTTTGAGGGGGGGGGGGTCATGCATGTGCATGAGTTGGGGAGGAGAAAGAGAGAGAGAGACAGAGAGAGAGAGAGAGAGAGAGAGAGAGAATCCCAAGCAGGCTCCCTGCTGTCAGCATGGAGCCTGACTTGGGGCTTGATCTCACAAAATGTGAGATTGTGACCTGAGCTGAAATCAAGAGTCAGATGCTTAACTGACTGAGCCACCCAGGAGCCCCAAGAAAGATCCTTTTTATATCTTCTTTACACTTGAGAAAACAAGAAATCTGGAGGGTGGGGTGGGGAGGATGTTTTCTTAGAGTATTGATGGTTTCTTGTGAAACCAAGTTCTTTCCTGCTTCCCAAAAGGTTCTCAATGATAGATGGCTGCAATGTCTTAAAAATTGAAAGCATTTAACAGTAATATTAGTAAATTAGAAAATTTGTTGTTGTTATTTCCTGAGGAAACAATTATTTTTGCAGTAGTTAGACTCCAGAGATGGCCCCCAAGGGTCTCTCCTCTCAGGACCCATGCCTGGGAATCTAGTCTGGCCCAGATTGCCTTCAATCAGTATAGTATGGTGGAGGTGATGCTGTGCCAATTCTAGGCCCAAACTTTAGAAAAGTCTAAAAATTTCCACTTTGGATGTTTGGGAGCTCTGTGCTAACGTGTATGAAGGCCAACTATTCTGCTAGAAATGGAATGTTCAGAGAGAAAGACTATGAGACAATGTGGAGAGAGAAAGAATCCCAGCTACCCAAGTATCCCATCTGAGTCCATTCAGCCTGCCAGCCATCTCTGAGAAGGTGCCAGACATGTAGATGAGCTTATCTTGGATGTTCCTGTGCATTGGAGCCCCCAGGTGACTGTAGCACCAGCCGATATCACCAAGAGCAGAAGAATCACCCACCTGAGCCTAGTCAACCTACAGAATCATTAGAGACAATAAAATAATTGTTATTTATTTTTTTTAAGAGAGAGAGAGCACGAGCAGGGGAGAGGGGCAGAGAAAGAGAGAGAGAGAGAGAGACAGAGAGAGAGAGAGAGACAGAGAGACAGAGAGTGAGAGAATCTCAAGCAGGCTCCACGCTCAGCATGGAGCCCAATGCAGGGCTCAATCCCATGACCCCGGGATCATGACCTGGGCTGAAATCAAGAGTCAGACTCTCTACCAACTGAGCCACCCAGGTGCCCCAAAATGGTTGTTATTTTAAGCCCCTAAGTTGTGGGGTGGTTTGTCACATAATAATAGATAACCAAACACTTTCCATTTTCATATGTCAAACCTGACTATTTTTTGTGGGTAAACAAGGTTACCAACAATGCATATTATAGCAAAATAATGAACAACATTTATTTATCTTGCAGAATACCCAATCATAAATAAGTCTCAGACCACAGGGAAATAGCACTTTACACCCATTATGATGGCTAGAATCACAAAGACAGATAATAGCAGGTGTTGACAGGTATGTGGAGAAATCGAAACCCTTCTGCACTCCTGGTGGAATGCAAAATGGTGCAGCTGCTTCGGAACATAGTCTGGCAGTCCCTCACAGAGTTAGCATATGATCCAGCCATTCCATTACCATATACTCAGGAGCAGTGAAAACATATGTCCCCACAAAAACTTGTACAGGATTGTTCATAGCAACATTAATCATAATAGCTGAAAAGCAGAATCAACCCAACTGTCCATCAAGTGATGAATGGATAAATAACATGTGGTATTATCTATACAGTGGAGTGTTATTTGGCAATAAAAAGGAATGAAGTACTGATACGTGCTACAACATGAATGAACCTTGAAAATGTTATGGTAAGTGAAAGAAGGCAGTCACAAAGACCACAAATTGTAGGATTCTATTTATATGAAATGTCCAGAAGAGGCAAATCTATAGAGGCAGGGAGTAGATTAGCGGTAGCTTAGGGCTGGAGAACAATAAAAAATGACTGCTAGTGGGTACAGAATTTGTTTTTGTGGTAATGAAAATATTCCAAAATCACTTAGATGATTTCAAACTGTGAATAGACTAAAAACATTGAATTATACACTTTATTTTTTTTCAATATATGAAATTTATTGTCAAATTGGTTTCCATACAACACCCAGTGCTCATCCCAAAAGGTGCCCTCCTCAATACACATCATGAATTATACACTTTAAATGGGTGAAATGTATGGTATGAATTATATCTCAATAAAGGGGGAGTTTTAAAATTTTATTTTTTAAGATTTTATTTTTAAGTAATCTCTACACCCAATGTGGGGTTCAAACTCATTACACTGACATCAAGAGTCGCAAACTCTACCAACTGAGCCAACCAGGCACCCCAAAGGTGCTTTTTTTAAAAGACAGTATTCTATAAGACTGATGTCTATTCTGTTTTGACCACTTTGGGCACCAGACTCCTGACTCTCATAAGATAAGGCTAAATCAATGCAGATAGCTAACTATGATGACACTTTAATGGGCTTCTGGTTGGGGGAGTTTATAGGACCAATGTACAAAATGCAAACGGAATGTCAGTTTATTATACAATTAATATAGACTAATATTATGGTTACTATTATTTTTAATAATATTTTATTTTATTTTATTTATTATTATTATTATTTTTTTACTTTAAAGAGAACAAGTGGGGTAGAGGGACTGATGGGGAAAGAGAGAGAATCTTAAGCAGGCTCCACACTCAGCACAGAGCCCAATGCAGGGCTTGATCCCAAGATCCTGGGATCATCACCTGAGCTGAACTCAAGAATCAGACGCTCAACTGACTGAGCCACCCAGATGCCCCTAGAGTTAATATTCTTATATTCCTCTTATCAATAAGGTGAAGATCAGCACAGACACTTGATCTGAATTCTTATTTTCTCTCATGAGGTTTAACCCACTTCTTAGGGTCTGTGTTCTGATTAAAAAGTGATACTAGCTTGTCAGCATGAAGAAAGGGGAGAGGGAAATATAGCCCCCTCCTCAACTTCTCAGAAAACAAAGCAGTGTTCATAATTATATTTCCAAGAACCATCAAAAGTATCTGAATTCATTATTTACATGGCCAGAAAACATTTTGACTCTCCTGCAATAGCATGATAGCACAGTGTTCATTGTCTAATGGTTACTCTGTGGTTGACTTTCACACAGTGAAATGCTTCATATGGTTTTGAAAAAAACATGCATGTTCTACTTGCTGTTACGTGCAGTTTTGTATATATCCATTAATTCAAGCTAAAGTTTTAGCTACTTTATTCATTTATTTATTTTTTAAAGTGTTGTTTATTTACTTTGAGAGAGAGAGAGGGAGGAGAGAGAGAGAAAGCATGAGCAGGAGAGGGGCAGAGAGAGGAAAAGAGAGAGAGAGAGAATCCAAGCAGGCTCTGCACTGTTAGCATAGAGTCCAATATGGGGCTCCAACTCATGAACCATGAGATCATTGCCTGAGCCAAAACCAGGAATCAGAGGCTTAACTGACTGAGCCACCCAGGTACCCCTTAGCTACATTATTTAGAATTAAAATAATAGAATAATAAATATTTATGTATTGATAAACTGAAATCTATCAGGCCCCATGCTAGGCCCTGAGAAGCCAATCCTGAATCCTACCCCTCAGGGAACTTACAGATGACAGGTGCCTCAATACATGAGAATATATGACCTGCAATGCCAATTTGTTTTTACTTTGAATATATATTTTTAATTTATACTTTACTATTGTTTTAATTTAAAGCTTTGCCTATCAGGTTTTGATAAAGCAATGCTAAACTCTCTCACCATGGTCATGAAGTCATCAAATCCTCCTTTAGATCTGTCAATTTTTGTTTACTATGCTTTGAGTTTCCATTGTTAGGTGCATAGTTGTTCGGGATTTTTATAACCTCCTAATGAACTCTCCTCTATCTCCTGCAGGGGCCAATCTGCTGTTCACACCATGTAGTGAAATTTATCCCAGATATCGTAGATTTCATCTCTAGAGGTTCAATTTGGGTCTTTTTAATAACACTCATGTCTCTACTTAACATGCTCAATCTTTCCTCCACCTTCTGGAACTTATGGGATATAGTTACAGTAGCTTAGTGTCCTTATCTGCTAATTCCGTCATCTGTGCTGTTTCTGGATGATGTGTTTCTATTAATTGACTTTTCTCCTCATTATGGATCGTTGTTTCCTGCTTCTTTGTGAGTCGAGTAAGTGTTGATTAGTTTCCAGACATTGTGTAGTTTACTTTGTTAGATGCTGGATGTTTTGTGTTTCTGTAAATGTTCTCGAGCTTTGTTCTGGGACACAGTTAAATTACTGGGAAACAGTTGATCCTTTTAAGTATTTTTTATTTTTAAGCTTTGTTTTGTGGGACTCCAGTAGTCTTCAGTCTAGGGCTGGTTTTTCTCCACTGAGAAAAGTGCAGTATCCTGATTACTCAATGTCCCGTGAATTACAAGGTTTTCCACTTTTGTCCATGGGGACCCAACTCTTCCTAGCCCTGTGTCATCTCCCTGGATTGCTCTCTCTGCTCCTTTTGGGTCATTTCTTTTCTGGCTTTGGGTAGCTTCCCCACACTCCTGTGCTGATGAGCACTCAGCTGAAGACCTGAGGGGGATTCTGTGCAGATCTCTGAAACTGTCTTTCTGTGTGCAATTCTCTCCTGTCCAGTACTGTGCCTGCAAATTGCAGCAGCTTTGCCTCCCTCCTTCAGACTCCCAGACTTACCACTTCAACTCAGGGAGACCACAGGTCTTCCTGGTTTCCACCTGCCTGTGCTGTGTCCTGGGAACTCTCCAGGCTCTCGAGCGAAGCAACCGTACAGCTCACCAAATTTGTTTCCTCTTTCAGGGATCCCTATCTGTGCTGCTTGATGTCCAGAGTGTGAAAAAAATCACTGTTTCAAGTAGTTTTTTAGTTGTTTCAGGTGAGAGGGTCAATCTGGGTCTTGTTACTCCATCTTTGCTGGAAGCTGACGTCTAATTAATTTCTAGTAATGTTTTTTGCCTTATATTGATATTGCCACACCAGCCATCCTTCCTATAGTATTTGCCTCCCTTGTACACTGCCATCCATTTACTTTGAACATCTTATATTTTTATGTCTCATATTTGTCTCTTTAAAAAGAACATAGTGGTTGGATTTTATCTCCTTGTCTGAGAATGTTTGTCTTTTAACAGCTGGGTTTGTTTAAATTTATTGGGACTAGTGATCTATTTGGATTTATGTCTCTGTCCTCTTTTTGTGCTTTTCCTTTATTGAGTTTTTTCTTTCTCTACATTGTTTTTATTGTATTAATAAAGTTTTTCTTATGGTCCCCCTTTTTATTTCTACGAGTTTGGAAATTATGTATTCTATTTTTTATTCTTTTAGGAGTTACACTTAGCATTTTAATATGCATTTTTGACATAATAAATTACAAAATTAATTGGTATCACTATCTTCCAAAAAATGCAAGGTCTTATAATGATTTAATTCCTTTCTCTCCTCCCCTGCATTCCATATTACTGTTGCCTAAAATGTATTTCCATCTTGTTTCTAAACCTCCCCACACAAATTAGTAATTTTTTAAAAAGTTTGTTTATTTTGAGAGAGAGAGAGAGAGAGAGAGAGAGAGAGAGAGAGAGAGAGGCAGACAGACAGGGAAGAGAGAGAATCCCAAAAAGGTTCCACACTGTCAGCATAAAGCCTGACATAGGGCTTGATCATGGTTGAGCTAAAATCAAGAGGAGGACGCTTAACGGACTGAGCCACCCAGGCGCCCCCTCCAAATTAGTAACTTTTAATGGTCAATGTTTGTTACAGTTTAGATTACCAGTCTACCTGTTTGTTCACCACTGCTTCTCCTTCTTCTTTTTTTTTTTTTTTTTTAAGAAAATTAATTATTTTAATGTGATGCCCTTTTTGGTTTGTTTTGTTTCAGGAGAATTTAGTGATTCGTTACTTACATATAACACCCAATGCTCATCACAACAAGTGCCCTCTTCAATACCCATCACCCATCTAACCCATCCCCTGTGCACATCCCTCCATCAATCCTCAGTTTATTCTCTACGGTTAAGAATCTCTTATTCACCACTGCTTTTTGCATCCCATCCCTTCAACTACCATCTTACTGGAGAATGTTCTTTAGGAGTTCTTTCACTGAGGGGCCGTGAGACGTGAACTCTGTCAAGTGAAGTCCTTTTGCCTGTCTGAAAATGTCTTTATTTTATTTTGTACTCAGTCTAGAAACATGATTTACCTAAATATAGAATTCTGGGTTGACAATTACTTTCCTTCTCTACACTGAAGATATTGTTTCGTTTTCTTTTGGCATTTGTCATTGCTGATGAGAAGTCTGCTCTCAGTAGTTATTGTTCTTTTGTAGACAATCTGTCTTTCCAATTTGGTTGGATTTATCTCTTCTTTGTCTATATTGTTCTGCAGGTGTGATGATGTGTCTAGGTATGGATTTGTATTTATTTATTCTGTTCAAGACCCAGTGTGCTACTCAGTTAGAAAGACTTACTGTGTTTGACACTGTCCTGTATCACCTGGATCCTTCTTCAGGACTGAAGGATCTAATCCTCCGGATACTAGAAGCTGGAGGTGCTTCTAACAGACAACATTCAGTGTCAGCCTCTCTCTGGGAATTGTCCTCAGCTGAATAGTGCTGCTTCACCCACAACTTCACACCCCTTCCTGAGTACAGCCTGCATCCGATGATTGGTTGATGCAGGGGTATAAAGAGGCAGCCCTCTTGTCTTAACATGGGACAATTCTAAAGGTCCATCTCAGTTTCCCTGTTCCCGTGGTAGAATGATCAACTCATCCAGGTTTGCCAGGGACTCGTGTATCTGAAACCCCTCAAGTTTACATCCTGGGAAATTCCTTGATCCCGGACAAACCAGGACTGTTGGTCATCCTTCCCATGAAGCTGAGTGAAGTCTTTGTTGAGACTCCATTGCAGCTTCTCTCTCTGCCTGGTCCTGTTTTCATGCCTTCCACTGGTATTGATCCCAAAAGTAGTCCATCATAAGCCTCCTGTCTCACCAATCTCTGTCCCAATCTTCCTCCCTGGGAACCTGATCTGCAACACCAATGTCTCTCTAAATTTAATTATAGAAAATTCTTAGATATTTTCTTTAAATATTGCCTTTTTGCATTCTCTATTCTTTCCTTCAGGTACATTCACTAAATACATGTTGAATGTCTTCACTCTATCCTCCATTTCTCGTAGTCACCCTTTTTAATTTTCCATCTTTCTATCTCTCTGTTACTTTCATCTTCATGTGAATCTAAACTTCTGTTTAACCCATCTATGGACTTTTCATACCTTAATAACTTCCTTCAGTTGGCTTTGAAGACACAAGCTCATCTGGTTTTCTTCCTGTATTTTGGGTTGCTCTGTTTCAGTCTTGTTTGCTGGTTCCTCTTCATCGTCCCTGCTTCTAAATGATGAAATCCCTGGGGCTCAGTTCTTAAACCTCTTCTCTTTTTTTATAATCTAAACCACTTTCCAGATGAAGTCATCAGCCTTGTGACTTTAAATACCATAGATAGGCTGATAAC